ATGGACCGATAACAGAAGCATCCTTTAAACTGAACTAGTGTTCATATTGGACTGGTGGGCTAAGGTGACATGCCCTCTACTTATTATTTATTTAGCTGGAACTGGGTCACTTTAATTTGCTGTAAAGTGTAGTGAGTGTGGACAGGTCTGCTGCATGCACCAGCTGGGCCTCATGTTGAATATCTTCCCTTGTATTGTAGAAGATTCCACTGGCGTTCCTGAGTTCCAATTATATAACAGGAAGATACACACTTCTGAATCATCATAATCTCACTTGGCTTTCTTTGAGGCTAAACTTTGACTCTCCTCTCATCCCATTCCTTCCAGAAGAACAGAAGTGAAGTGTATGCTGCTATTGTGCTGAATATTTAGTTTAGGCAAGTCACGGGATGGGCAAAGTGTGCTTTTCCATTGTCAAAATCAGACGGGCCATGAAGCACAATCCCCGTCAAGGCTACTGCAGGACTATAATGGGCATCGACAGAGCTCCCACGTTTCAGTATTGGATGGTATCTTAGAGCTAAACTAGTCCAACTCTCTCCTTTTCCTGATGATGAAACCAAAAATCAGAAATGTTAAATTCTTTGCCAAGGTTATACAGTTGGTAAGTGACAAAACCAAGACGGCTGGACTTTTTTGGGGGGTTCACTTTTGAGTATTCTTTCATTATAAAGATGCCAATACATACTATGTCTGATATGCAAATGAATATGTCCAAAGTAAAACAATTTCAGGAAACTCTATAATGCTGGATATTTAATATTAGGTAAAAGAGGGAGGTGTGTGTTGACTTCAAAGAATGTCACAAATTACTAGGCAGGAGAAGCCTATCGCTGCACCTAGGAAAACAAATTCTTCCCTTTGTTGTTTAGGGAACTGACTGGCATTGTCGCCAAGGAACTTATGTACTAGACTATAAGGAGACCTAACAAATACTGAGGGAAAAAACCCTTTCTATTTCAAGCTGCAGCTCCAATATCCAAACAAATACCTACTATATAATGTGAATGTGAATGTCTATGTATGTGTATTTTGTGTATCCGTGTACCTGATTTGTGTGTATTTGTATGTGTGTGTCTGTATTCATGTGTGTATGCACAATGCATGCATGTCTCTGTACCTGTGTATACATGTGTTCTACATGTGTGTTTGTGCATGTGTGTTCACTCAGGCCTCAGGCACAGCAAGCTAATGCACCCTTCATGCCGGAGAGCCTGTTGGGCTGATTTTTTCCCTGGCACTGCCCCTTAACAGTTTTCCTTCTTGAGCAAGTAGTTACATCGTTTTTCTGAATCTCAGTGTTCTTATCTATAAAATGAAAGAAAGAAGTTAACCAGTGTGTTTTTAGTCCCATAGCCATTTCAGTGATTAAATTGAATTACCTGCATTTGCACAAAATTTGATAATATTTTATTATAGGTTCTATAATAGATTTGCCTCCCAAACAACCAACTTTGGTATTTCCATGTACAGATGGCCTTTGTGAAAATGCACACTGTTTAAATTAATCCTTATGGCAGCTCCATGAATGAAGCACAGTTATCTCTACCTTACATACGAGCAAACTGAGATCTTGAATTGTAGTAATCTTCCTGGAGTCGCCCAGGGAGGTTTTGGAGGACAGGAACACAAACCCACATCTGTCTCTAAAGCCAGCCTTGCAGTCATTCTCTCCTTCGCCTCACCTCTGCCCAAAGCTGTTGTGAAGAACAATACGGTGGTCGTGGAACTGGCATCGGCATCCTGGTTCCCTTTATCCAGCTAATGTTTGCCCTTTTCTCTGACACACCTATTTCCCTTGATATCTCAGCTGGCACACAATTTTTTAAAGTCAACCCACCATTCTGCCCTGGTAGAAGGAGAGAGATTTGGGAACAATTCAAACTGGACAGTGAATGCAGGCTTCGTGGAGAAGGGCATATTGCTGGCACATCTTAACAGCACCTCATGGTACGGGACTTGCCTTGCAAGCCTTTGACAGCCATTGAACTGCAGAACCCACTGCTCCTAGTGTTCAACCCAGGAAGAAACAGGAGGAGAACTGCCAGGATGTAACTGCTTAATCCCTTCCTAATCTCTGGATTCTCATAAATCCTTTAACTCTTCAACTATGGAATTATAAGAACTGGGTTTGCAGAATCATTATGGTCATACGAGGCCCAAGTACTGAGCTATGAAATTCAGAAAAAGCAGAGGGCCAAGAAGACTGCCACAGGGTTGACTTTGAAACCAGTTTGAATACAATTACTGAGAAAGAAAAGCAAACCCCTATTTACAAAATTATTATTTTTGTTTAGTGAGATATATTGAATCAATTTTGCACAGAAAATTGCAAAGAAACCTCTCAGCAGAGCCCTTTAAAAGCAATTTAATATTTGTAATAAGGCAAATATTTCTGACTCTCAACTATTTAGCCATGAAATTTTAAAATCCAATGAAAGTCTGACTTCAATAAATGCTGCTTTACAAATTTTATTGCCTATGTAATAGCCTAAAAATACTGACATTCTTTAGACACTTAAATTTAATCATAATGACAAATAATGAACTTTTAAAACTGCCCTTCATGTAATTGAGTATAATCTGGTGCTTTTAAAACATGGGTTTGTTTTTCTGGCACGTTGTCTCTCAAAATTGTAAATAAGGTCGATTTACCCGGCAGCCTGAGAATTTCTAAGCAATTGTGCCTTATTTCCAAGCAGTCTTTTAGAAACATAAAGCACAATATATTATACGACAAGAAGACTTGAGAGGCTTCGCATCTCAGTTATTAACAATTCTTCAAAAGATCTAGGCAGGAGTTAGTGCCATCGTGAAATGATGACACCATGGCCGCAGGTAATGTGATGTGGCCAGTCTCTCTGTGAGAGTAGGAAGCCGTTTTCCTCATTTTGGAATTTCCTTCTTTCTAAAGGGCAGTAGATAGCACACTGGACTAGTCTTCATTAGATACAGGATCTGAGCTATGTTCTAAGGACATGTTGCCTGTCTCAGACTCAGATTCTTCCTCAGTAAGATAATGATAATTATAGCGTTAAAAGGATTTCATGAAACACAACATATGAAAGTGTTTGCAAGTCGAAATCTACCTCTTTGAAGTAAGGCAGCATTGACATCTTTATAGTTGTTTCTCTGTATACCTGTTCTCACCAGAATCAAATACATGACACTGGCCTTGTTGGCAGCATAATCCCACTCACTGTTTAAAGCTTCCCTTTTCTATTGCCGTAGACTGGTCATATAATGTTTCCTTGTTCTTGAGAGTCACAGAACTCTGTGAATGAACCAGAGTAAACCACTCCACTGCTAGAAAAGCAAATTTGGCCTAATATGTCTATCGATGGGGTCATCTCGGCCATCTCTCTGAAATTGCAGACCCTATGCGTATTTCCTGTTCCCCTCCACAGCTTTGCTTTCTTCCATGACAAACTTATCATCATAAATACACTTTATTTTAATGTATCTATCTGATTTACTGTATCCTCCAGTAGACTGTAAGCTCCACTTGGGCGGGGGTATTTGTTTCATTGGCTGTCATGTGCCTTGCACCAAGAACAATAGTTGACATAGAAAAACGAAGGAATGATGACCAGCTTATGGTTGTTATACAGACGCTCATATACCTGCAGCTAAGAAAACCTAGAAATTATTAGAAATGGTTTACTATAAGGCTTAGGACGCTTTTAATGTTTCAATTCTAACATGTCAAGGCCCATAAAAGAGTTTGTTTATTTTTAATGTTTTCTACTATTGGCTTCGTCAGCAGTTTCTTATTCTAGCGATTTTTGTCTGCTTAGTTCTGTCTGTGAAAAGGGAGTATAGTTCATGCCTCACATATTAATCTTAGATTTATAGAAAAACATAAGAAATAAAAGGGAGTTTACCCCTCCTTCTATTAGAGCTTATATGCAAATTCCAAATCCACTCTCCTGAGCAGTTACCCATGATTTAATATTCATAAATTCCCACTGTATACCCAACTGCAAGAAACCAAAGCAAGATTATAAACAGCACTAATAACAAACAGGCATAAAACTTTTACTACCCTCTGTTCCCACAGCACTTGGGAGATGTGTCAAATTACCCTGTGGAAGACTGGAAAGAGGGAGTTGGGGTAGAAATCATGGCCCAAATGGTAGCGATGCAGTTTCCAAATTTTACAGCTTGGGAATCACTACTTATTTAGGAAACTCTACCTTTGTTAATTAGTTGCAACTGCAGAAGATGAGCCTGCAGGGATCTTTAAAGAGAGCCAGTGTAGATGGAGCAGAAGAACAGGAAAAAAAAAAATCTGAAGACAGCATTGCTTTCATAAATCTTTAAGAGGGACTTTCCTCTATCATTATGCAATCAAACAAATAATGGACAGGGTTTGACAATACAGGAAGAGGACACTTCTCTCTGTATTTAATTCCCTCAGGTTTCTGACTACTTGAGTTTGAAAAACACTTCATTTTGTAGGATCTTCCTAAATAAAACTCTGTACTTTGCTTGTGCAAAAAGAAACAGAATGTAATTCTATTTCTATTTCTAGAGCCAGTGCAAACATGTATTTGTTAAATGTTGTTGAAGAGAGTGTAAAATGATGCAGATGGTCATGGTCAAGTGTCTTAATGTCTTCCCTTTCCACCTAGGATTTTGCTGCTTTCTTCTTGATCTTCACTTGGCCACCTTTGCGCTGCTTACAGGAAATTTTCCAGACAAAGCCTAGTGATTGGCTATTCATGAATTAGAGACACAAAACGCTTTAAATTTATCTTGTCTATTTCCAGAGAGAAAGATGCAATATAGATGGAGAAAAATGTCATGTTTGAAGACATTTGCTTCATCTAGATAGTCAATTTAGTCTTTAAAATGTGCATACATGTAACAAATACACTTATTTCTCTCTTAATTTTGACATGGAAGCCCTTTGGTGCTTTGCCATAGACCAAGTAGTCACAGTAGGAAAACTCAGCTCAGACTGGTCAGTTGTAATTTATGCAGAGAAAGGCACTCACCAGCACTGACAGTGATAGCTTCAATGAACTGTTCTCTCCAGCTGTTTGTCCCAACTACAAGGGCCAGGTTTGTCTTCTTAATGAGTTTGTCCACGGTACTCTAGAAAGGTTGAAAAGAATAATATAATAAATGCTGGGTTTGTTAAGGCCTCAGGAAATCTAAGACCTTGTTGATTTTGAAACTCCAGAGTTATATAAAGGGTAGCAGATGTTAGGCTCAGAACAACAGTATTGACATCAAACACTGTTATGATTATGCAAACAAGCATGGTCTTTAGTTGGAAACATTCTGAAATGGAAACTTCTTTGTAGCAAATACAAGTCTCCTTCACTGACTAATGAAGAATAGCCTCAGTGTTTAGAATAGCAGAGGCTGCAAAAGCCCATCCATCCCCCCAAATGCTTTACCAACTTGCTTCTCTACTGGTTTCATCAGTAGTGTTTCATCTGCAAGTGAATTAATATATGCCCTATTCAGCACTACATATCTGCGAATAGCCGGCGAAGTGACAAACACATTATGAAACCAAGAAATATTACTATTGTTTTTTGTTTATCAATGAAATGTAGCCAGATAATGGAGTCTCCAGGTTGCCTGCTGCATGGTCATCAATAAATGGATTTTTCTCTGGGTACTATTTTGTCAGCCTCTTGCCTGTTAGAGAATCCCATGTTCACCCTATTCCTATTGCAAACAAGAATAGACAAAAAGACAAGAAGAAAAGATCAGTTCTTATGGTTTAGGGCACATTGCAGTTTACCTTGCCCTAAATCTACCCTGCTTTACTGGCACTGTGCTGCATACCCTTATTTTTCTTTGGAACTTTTTAAGCACCTTGTTTTGTACAATCAGCACTCTCTAGCTTTCTAAATTCAGTTGATGTAACAACAGGAGCAGCCAAACGTTCACTAGAAAACTAAGTAAGCAGATGCACTGAAAGCACTACCACAGTCATGGCAACTACAGGGAGAAGGGTCATTTCCAAGACACTAAGGCTGTTCTTCCCAAGAAACTACCACAGTGACTAGTCTACCAAACATCCACACTTACTGTCAGAGCATCCTCGAATTTCCACTAATTGCAAAGAGGCAGAAAACACATTATTTGCCATAGGTCAAAATCTGTATGTGTTTTATGCAATGTACCTGAGTTGACTGTGGTTTAAGAGAGCACATTTTCAGTTAACTGGGAGTAAGCAAAATGCTATCCAAAGGGCTTGTATTAAGGCCAAAGCCAAATCATAATATCAAGTATGTTTGCTCAATAAGAGTCATTGGAACAGACTTGAAACATTGAGACAATAATAAGCATGAAAGGGCCCATCTCCAACTGGCTCACTCTGTATTCGTGACATTATTCTTGGCTGAATTGTATGTCCTTAGGGTGATGAGCTTTTGGCTTCTAGCTTTGTGTCTAGAACTGCTGGTGCCCCTGATAACAGCTGTAACCATCACTTCTCTTGGCCACCATAACTTGAAGCATATAATCAGCATCCATCTTTCCTCTCTCAACTCAGCCACATCTCATCAAGTACTCTGACCATCCTCACTGATACAAATTCAAAATGCCTTGTAGAATATAGTAAGAAATGACTTCCATTATTCCTTATATAATGGAAACTTGGGACAGTTCTCTCCAAAGAGGCACTCTTGGTGCTGAATCCATGATGGAGTATCCCATCACCTGGGAAACACACAATTGAACAGATAAACTTCTCTAACATTGAACACAGACTTTCCGCAAGAAATAGCTGCTAAAGAACAACTTTTTAAGATAAACTAAACTTTTGTGTGTAAAACCCAGGGTAGATTTTAAACTGTAGTTCATGTTAACCCTGGGGGATTATAGTATAGCCAGGGTTCTTCCTAGGACTTAATTTGTGTATGTATCCTTCCTTGACCTATAGGAAAAATGGGAGTGAATAAAGATATAGTTCAGACACCTGAACTTGGACACTATTGTCTGTATTTACCTAGGAGGTTCCTGAATGCTAGTGACCAGTTTTTCACTGCACTAGATTTTCAAAGGCTTGTGAAAACCTCACCCTCAGCCATGGGTGTTACTAAAACCAGGTCCTCAGTCACACCATCGTAAACAAGAACTCAGTGGGTAAAGAAGAGTGGGCCATTGTAAGGTATCACCCAGATTTGGGTCTCTAGCACAGTTCTGGGAGCTCTGAGTAAGTTCTTTAAAATACCTATGTTCTAGTAAAAGAAATTTCTTAAATAATATAAAATCAAAGCTGATACTTAAGGGCAGTTCTAAAACATGCCCCTAACGTGCCCTATAGGTATTAATGGTAACTACACTGATGAACTTTGAAGAGATGACAGGAAATAGTCTATGGAAGCTATCCTACAAGGATAAGTACCCCAAGCAACTGGTTTCATGTGGAGACTCGGGGGACTTTCAAATGGTCAGATCATTGTAGTGGTTACCAGAAAGGACTTTGGACCCAAAAAAGCTTTGCTGCCTGGAAGACTGTGCCCTGCCTTATTTAACTTAATGCTTCTTATAGGAAGTCACTATGATTGCTCTTCCTGTCATGGGTGCATGGAAGGGGAAGGTTGGGGATTATCCCACAAGGGAGAGAACACACAATTCCCCAGGATAACCCAGGCAAAGGGTAGGGGCAAGCTTGCTTCAGGAATACCAACCCCTAGAATCTCTGCTGCAGAAAATGGCACCAGGCTCTCTGATTCCAAATGAAAAGAAGGTGAATGAGGAAGAGTGAGGTTGAACACATGGAGAAAAGATGAGTAGATGGATCACCAGAAACGGACAGTCAGATTCCCGGACTTCTGGAATTGCAGGGAACTTGTGCACATTCCAGGCATGGTTGTGCACCAAGCCAAGTTCTGTGTCATACGGTGGGGGTCTAATGATTGGGATCTGCCTAGAAAGCATTGGTTCCAGTGTTTACCCCCCGACCCCCTCCTCCAATGGAAATGTGTGAAAGAAGAGTTAACAGATAGATTCTCAGTGGCCTAAAGTTTAATTGCATTTTTATCTTAAAATATTCCACTTTAATTTCAAAGACATTTTGTTTTCCACCTGTCTCCTATCAGGCACCTCCGTTTGTGAACTAAATTAAAAAATAATTAATGGATCCAGCTAAAGGAAAAGAGGGGACTATTATGAGAAGTCCAGATAAAATCTGAAACTTCTAAATTGGTGGTCTGATTCTCTCTTTTGAAACCTTCATTCTGGTGTTTCAAACAGGAACAGTGTCTGCTTTTGAAAAGTAAGCAGGTAAAATACTGCTGTGCTCTGGGTTTGTAATTCTGGAAAGCAAGAGAGGGGATGCACCTTTCATATCCCACTGCAGAACTAAGGTGTTTCTCCCCCTATGGTCTTCCCAGATGCTAGAACCATGTAGGGGAGAAGTGATGGGAGGGGACACAGGGACAGAGGGAGCAGCTAAGGATCAACAGGAAATTTCACTTCAAAGTCTTAAGCTCCATCTCGAGACCCACACATTCAACTTCTGCAAAAATGACTTTTATCATCTAGAGAACTGGGAATCCAATTTCATCAGCTCAACTGTAAACTCTGGTTGCAGGCACTATACCTTCGGTATATTGACTGTACTAAATGTGCTTGGATCTGAAGAGGATGATTACATATAAATGAGAGCTTGTCAATGGGATGTTCCATAGGGAGACATTACTATCCCCATCCAAAACAAACCCCCCTCCCCTAATTTTCAGCAGTGTGAATGCCTTGCTCTGACAGATTTATTAGCATTTTGAAATAGAAGTTGGTTTCTTCCACACATAACAATCTCTTAGGATCCACCTTTGCATCTTCCTTGCTATCCCCTCAGATTAAACCTTCCCTTTGGGGCACCTCTGATCTTGTGCAGTCATGGATGCCTCCTGCTGGGCCCTGGTTCTGATGCTGTTTGGTTTACAGGACTCCTTGGTTCCTGACTAACTCTATAATTCCAATTTGGCTCCAAAGGCTCTCAATTCATGAGACTGTTCCTGAAATTACATCTACCATTCTTTCCAGATGGACCTTATAGCTTCGGCCAACACCATGAACAGTTTCTGTCCCAAGATGAGCCTGGCTCCTGGTGGGCAGTGTTGGTGAGCACACCTTGAATTCATAGGATTCTTCAATGATCACTTCCAACTTGGTGTGCTCTCCCAGGATGGGGCGTCCCATTTCTGCAATGCGTCTCTCCTCTTCCTCTTTGCTGGTCAGTGGCTGCTTGTCATCATATTCATCTGTGAAACGGGAGTATCAGAGAGTGAGCACTATGTCCTGTTTCATTTGAAAATCCCTGGATCCTGCCATAGGAAAGCCAAGGGGGAAGGAAGCCCTAATGACCTATTAAAGCGCCCTGGGTGAGGTCATGATGCTGGAGGGAAGAGCCGGACAGACACTTGGCATGTAAGGCAGCATATCACTGTGACAGCAAGTGATTATAATAATGTCTCACAATCTAAGCTCATGCAAAAGTGCAATTGAGGAAAAGTAATGTATGGGGTATGTCACTGAGAAAAGACTGCCTGTACGTTGTCTATGTTAAGGGAGTCACCCAGCTGTTCCCTGTGACGCTGGCTCAGTTGGCTGTTTGTACACATTCTTTCAGGACGTGACCACAGGGAAACACAATTGAAAGTGCTAGAGTGACCCTGAGAGATGGTGGAGTCTGGCCTCTTCCTCTCTACTTTCTAGGGACAACAGAAAATGCCTGAGGTCCAAAGAGATGGGGAATAGGAAATTCTGACTTTAGCCTCCCTCTTGCCAAGAGACCCTGTTGCAAGTTAAACAGCAAAACATCCATTCCATGTTTCTGTGGGATGCTTAGGCTCCAGTGCTGCTTCTATCTGGTGCAAAGCCAAAATTTGTTAGGAAAACCTTGTCCATGTTAATCTTAAAGTAAACAGGGAGGGTGAGGGTGAGGCCTTTCGGGAGTTAAAATACTCACTGACCATGTGAGCATAATTATTTCCAGAACCACCATGTAGCTTACAGTCCAGGAGAGGATAGTGGGTGCTGAGAAAATGTTAATGGTTCCAAGAGCCCATTAATGAGGGGAAGCTCACAGTTGGCTCTCTCTGTGTGAAGGTCATTAGGATAAATCCCAGACTGAAAAGGCCATGCACATAAGAAGGACAAACACTGGTCCTATAATTACCCTTATCCTTTAGGTCTAGAATGCTGAAACTAGACAAGCTACTACTTCTTAGATTTAAGTGGAAGGAACATTGTCTCCAATGAAACAGTGTCAGTGATATGGAAAGACCTCAGCCCTGATGGCCTCATTTCTAGGACCTCTGGACAAAGTGTCTCCAACAGGGGGCTGTTGACTGAAGAGACATCCAATAAAAGGGATGTTTGGTCCTGGCTTCCTGCCTGGTGCACTCAAACATTAGCTTCTGTAGAAGTCCATACCTCCCATTACCTCCAAAGACCCATGGCCTCGGACCGTGCTATGGTGGCTCCATTATTGCTTTAGCAACTGGTGCAGGGAATGGTTCCTCCTAGGCTAGCTGCTCACTGAGGGCAGGGAGTGAATGGGCTGGAGGCACTGCCAGCATTTACTATTTCAAAGGTCAAAACCAAAAGGCAAAAGCGGAATGTAGCATATTGATTAATTCTTTAGTATATATTTTATAGTGTCTTCCTAAACGCCCATTTTAAAATCTGCTTTCCTAGCCTCAGCGATTACAGGACACCAAAGAAATTAGACAAAGACTAAAAATAAATGATTTTGGATGGCCAGAAGCTGCTGAATGTTAGCAGAGGCAAAGGAGAGGGACAAGGATAAAAGTGGTAATATTTTTTTATAGTAGGATTGGGAAGTTACGACCCAAGGGAGGGCAAAGGGTTCTGGTTCTCCAAGATTTGTCCTTGCAAAATTATGTGTGTCTAGTCAAGAGAGTTGACTGAGATACATGAAGTGCAATTTACCCAGCACTGAAATTAATAATTTTGATTACCACTGCTTTCTGATCCTTGAACCCAGGATAATGTTATTGGTAGTTTTCGTAGCAGTAGTTTATGCTAGCATCTTTGTTCGAACTTTTGGCTGAACATGGATGAGTTGAAGACTTACACAGAACAAGAATGGTTTTCTCAGAAGGAATATTACAACTTGGACACCTATTTAACAGCCTTCTTTTTGTAGTTTACTTATAAATGACAAGTTGCTTTTAATGGGACTCAAGGTAATCTGCATAGAAAAAAATAGAGAAATTACAAAACAAAGGTGATATGGCAGCATTGTTAAGCGTGGCATTTCTCAAAACTGAATTGGTTTTGATCGTGGTATTAAATAACTGGACGTGGATTAAGTAAATGAAGTCAAATCATACAGTGAGTGAAAAGGTTCTTTCTTTTCCAAAAATCCTTCAGTCCTTCTGATCAGGAAGAAATGCTTAATTTGATGCTCTTATGTCTGTAACTAGTTTCTAATATCTGGACTTGTACCTTTTAAGATAGATAGTCACAATAGTTCTCAGGTATAGAGCATTTGCCATTATCTAGCTACAATTTAATAACTTTTGTTCCATTGTAAATTTTTTTTTAATTTTACTTTCTATTTGTGGCAAATGATACTAGTTTTCCTGTGTTAGTGACTTAAAGTTTTTTTTTAAAAACAAACTTAGTGGCCAGGCATGGTGGCTCACGCCTGTAATCTCAGCACTTTGGGAGGCCGAGGTGGGCGGATCATGAGGTCAGCAGATCGAGACCATCCCATCCTGGCTCACACAGTGAAACCCCGTCTCTACTAAAAATAAACAAAACTAGCCGGGCATGGTGGCAGGTGCCTGTAGTCCCAGCTACTCGGGAGGCTGAGGCAGGAGAATGGCGTGAACCAGGGAGGTGGAGCTTGCAGTGAGCCAAGATCCCACCACTGCACTCCAGCCTGGGTGACAGAGTGAGACTCCGTCAAAAAAAACCAAAAAAAAACCAAAAACAACAACAAACTTAGTAAAGTATAAACATGAGGCAGTTTTAAAAATTACATTAAGTAAATAGCATAGTTAGTATGCAACCAAAGTGGTATGGGAATGACAAAAATTAAGGAAATATGATGTTAACTTATTTCATATTAACCTAAAAAACAGTAAGGCACACTGTTTCTATCATTTGCTACACTCTTGCTTCAAAGGGACTTGGATTTCTTAATTCCACACTTTTATCCCTTTGTGTATTCACCTGGAAAAGCTTCACAATTTTCATTTGGTTAAATCTTACTTATCTTTCAAAACCCCACCACTTCTGGTATGAAATAACTCCCTATTGATGAGTGAGGAGATTTAAGAACTACCACTCTAACCTTATATTAACTCCTTAATATTCGTTGCATGTATAAAGCATGGACATTTTCATATACTGTTTTTTAAATTTTTAATTATCTTTACATATAAATATCCAGCACATAAACTCACTGAGATAGAACAGTAAGTTTCGTTTTGCTTTGAATCGTCCTTGCATCCTCTGGCACCTGTTACACTATATGGAATATAGTAGGTGCTCAGTAAGTATTTGCTGTGTGACTCTCCAACTCACTGTTAATAAAGCCTCTTAGTTGCTCGACCTATAAAAAAAGGATCCTTTTTTCATTGAGCACATGTCATTGTACTCCATACCTTGTCAGCAGTTCCCCCTCTACTTTCCAGGAACTTATGATGTAATAGGGACAGGAATATACGATGGACAACTTCTAGGCATGATAAGGACTAGGGGACCAGGGTTGGGGAACAACTCAGTTGGCCTAAAGAGAGTCAGGGAAGGAAGCCTTCCTTCCCTTAAGGAAGCTTCAGGAAAGAGGAGTTATTTGAAGTTGACCTTGAAGCACATATAGAAGATTGCCTGGTGAAGGTGATGGTAAGGATGGCTAGGAGGTGGTGGAATGAGGAGGTTCATTTCAGGCAGAGAGAAATCAAAGTACAATGGTATAGGGTCATGGAAGGGTCAGGGCCGTTTTGACTTAAGTATTATAAACTTTTATTTATATGTAACTGAGAAATGGCAGCTGTATAGATTCTATTATTGCTCTACAGTTATACTGATAAATTCAAATTTATGGTCTCGATTTTTGACTGGTAAAAATGAGAGCTAAGTCTAGTTTTTAACAGAACTGTTTTCTGTCTTTAGATACTTTCTGTTGAATAGGGAAATGGTTTAACAGCATTTGTAAAATTTTAATCATCTATTTTGTTTCCTTTTCTCTTTGAGCATTGGATCAAAAGCGGATCATTTTACTATGGTTGAGGTCAGTTTCATTTCTTTACTTCTGCAGAGAGAGATAACATGCTGTGGTTTCAGTTTTGTTTCTCAGATGGAAAATATACTCTTTCTCCTCCTGAGTGTACATGCACACTTTTAAAATTCGCCATATTTTATTGAGAAGTTGGGAATAGATTACATAACATCATAGTCTTAACCAATCCAAACAACTTTTGATCAAATGCATAATTAACAGCTACTGTTAAAATCAATACTGACAGGACATAAAACAATCCTAGAGTAGAATCACCAGTGGGGGATCTCCCTTCTCCTAAGTAATTGATTTCGCAAACAATAGCAAATAATGAAAGCTCATAGGTACCTGGCATCTGGGAAAAGCAGCATTTTGAGAAAGCTGTTTCTAATGCTCTCTGGTTCAAGCTGCATTTTGAAGCAGTGTCAGTGTAAGAGATGAAGCGCTGGGAGTGTGAAAACAAAACAACCCGTAAGGTCCATCTCATTATCAAGATCTTTACCTCAGGGGACACTGCTGAGAGTCTTTAACGGAGTCACATTTTAAAACTGTACAAACAATGTAGAATTTAGAGAAGCGTACAAGGCCAGTGGTGGGACAATTTGCTCCAGATCATTTTGATCCTCCACTCAGAACTAGCCTGACAAGTCAGAAAGCAGAGGTCTCTCTTGACAATTTTTAGCACGTGGCTGGCCTCTTTGATTGGAGGCTAAAGTGACTGATGATATAGACCCAAATATCATCTCTAATGATGATATTTGGGCTCTAAACCTATAATAGATCTGGGACAGCTGTGTAATCCTCTAGTCACCCTGTCAATGTCATTTATTTCCCCTATGGAGAAACCCCACAGATGTATTATCATCTGTGCATATCTGGCTAACACCATGTTGCCTGGGGGCAGCAAGGGCAGCTCTGGGAAGAAATGCAGCTCAGCTTTAAAAGAAACTTCATGGTTGGGCACTGGGACTCATTCCTGTAATCCTAACACTTTGTGAGGCAGAGGCGGGTGGATTGCTTGAGTCCAGGAGTTCCAGACCAGCCTGGGCCACATGGTGAGACCCCATCTCTACAAAAAGTACAAAAAGTAGCTGGGCATGGTGGTGCACACCTATAGTCCTCGCTACTCAGGAGGCTGAGGTGCGAGCATCCCTTGGGCCCAGGAGGTTGAAGCTGCAGTGGGCTGTGACTGATTCCACCATTGCACTCCAGCTTGAGTGACAGAGAGAATCCCCATCTCTGATAAAATAAAGAAACTTCATTATACTTGGGATAAAAACTGATGTGTGAGACGAAATATTTGCAAGAAATCTGGAATATATTGAAACTCAGGAGAGAGAGGCCATGGGATCAGTCTTCTCTGCAGGCCGGTGCTGGCCTCTCCTCAGTGCTCCTTTTCTGCCCTCACGTGGTTATGTTTTGTTGTGATCCACCGTACCACTGGCTGCCAGAGAAGCTGCAGCAGTATTTAGCAATGTTTTAGAGAGGAGAGGGGCTGAAATGCATGACTCTAATGTCTTTAAGATTAAAGAACTCTTAGAGGCTTTGGTTTTCAAGATCATGATGAAATGAGTACCTGTAATGGTGATTACAGTAGAGAGAATCGGATGTTCTCTAGCATGAACCTTCCTGAAGACAGGTTGGCCTAGCAAAAGGACAGGCAGAAAAATCAGCAGAATGGATTGCATTGATTTGCTATCAGAGCTCTGTGGAATTAGTAAGCTAAACATTAAAACCAGGTGCACACATCACAAGCAATGTTAGTTTGGGGATTAAATGGTCATAGGTCACCCCTAGGTAGGTCACAGAAGGGAGTTCTGGTGGAGGTTACTGATGGAGATCATTGCTCAGAGATGAGCGAGTATTTCATGAGCCAAACCAAACTATGTTAACAAACCACAAGCCCCATGATAGTGAGTACAGCCAGATTCCTACAGGTATCTTAAATGTTATACCAAAGTCCTTCAAGGTACCGCTTCCGGAAGCATCATGGAACATCAGAAGGTATAGTGGCAGGTGTCTTGGTTGTGAAGCCAATTAGTGCCAACAATATAGCCTTGAGTAGGCCATTTCTCCAGTTTCTCCCCATGTAAAATGGTGGTAATAGTACCTGCTCTATGTTACAGGTTTGTTTGAGGGTCAAGTAATACAACACCTGGGGATATGCTTACTACATTTATTTCCTGAGCAGTCTGAAGGGGAGAATGTTATGTACACCTTCAGGTTTTGCAAAGGTAGGCCATCATCACAGCAACTGTTTGGATAACCTAGGGTTAACCTAGGCCTGCGGGGTTCTCATTGAACTCCTGGTTCAGCTGACTTCCAGATTCACTTGCTATTTGCCTCTACCAAGAGCTACCCATAACTGACCTGGGAATCATGAAATTCGGGATTCAGTGCCACCTCTGCCACATGCTTGTCATCTAAACTTGGGCAAGGCCTTTCTCCTCTCTCTCAGGCTTCTCAATTATAAAGTGAAGCTGAATTTGAAGGGGCTTTGTTCCTCCAGCCTACATACTGAAGTGATGAAAACATTTTCAACTGTCAGAATTTTCATAGTTTGGCTTCCTTAAAAAGGCTTGTGTCTTATTAAGTCTATTATGTGCTGAGCATAATATGATTAGAGGAGTAATATTAAACAGGTATACCGACTGATACATAATTTTAATTAGAGAACTCTATAGTTGTATATCTTAGAAGTTTTGGGGGACCAAACATACATTCTTCTCTCCATATTGAGCCAGAATACTTAATTTATTTAACTATTCATGTTCATATCGTCCAGTTTCCCCCTTCTGGGGTACTTCTCATTTTTCATTCAACTGGAATACATAATGATGGAATTTATTAGATATATGTGGGTTTTGAGTAGAAAAGGGGTTCAATGTATAATTTCAAGATGCAGGTAGAAATAAGCTAGAGGGGAAGAAACAGGACAGTGCTAATATTTAGAGTGTTATCTTGTCATATGACTGGAAGACCAAGGGGGAATGAGATCATAGGCCCAAACAAGGGCCTTTCAATGAGGCAAGGTCTGGAAACAATAGGTAAAGATCTGCAGATTCTAAAAGCACCTCCAACACTTAATGTCCACCACTAATGAGATCTCTGAAATATTGGTATTAGGTTGTGGATCAGATGACTTTTTCAATTTCCATATATCCTGCTTCAAATTTAGATTTTCACACTCAGCTGCACAAGCCCATGTAAAAGCTGCAGGCAAACTCCCAGGGCTAGATTAATTCTTCTTACTGCCCCTGAAGTCAAAGCCTTGACTTCAAAGCCTCCAACTGACTTCAAAGAAAAGTTCTTTAGGGCTTAAAGCTGCTTTTCACTGTAGACCTAAGTTTTAGAACTGTCCTCAGGGGCATCAGTAGAGAGTGGATTCTAAGCATTCTGGTTTGATTTAGGAAAAGAAGGGTCATGTAAAGTGAGATAGTTTCTTAGAAAGTAGGAATGGACAGGCCAGTGTAGAAATTCCCAGAGTTTTTGAACATTCTCTTGTTCTAACTGCATTAATTTCAAGTCTTGGGAAGAGGTGATGGCAATAGGAAACTGCCATTTCAGATTAAAGTTTCAGCCATAGGAAGAACTTAATGAACTACATGAAATGATAAGAAACTTCTGGAGGAGGTGACTCTGTCATCTTGCATGCCAGATGTGGCCAAGGCAGGAAAAGTTGGACATTACCAGAGATATTACAGAATTTGATGCAAAGAAGTTCTGAGAAAAGAAAACTAGGATCCCATTACCTGAGATCCTAGAAGAGAGGATGGTTCAAATGACATAGAACGAAGGCCCTTAAAAAAAAATTTGGACCAGGCGCAGTGGCTTAAGCCTGTAATCCCAGCTGGGAGACTGAGGCAGGCGGATCACAAGGTCAGGAGATTGAGACTATCCTGGCCAACATGGTGAAACCCGTCTCTAGTAAAAACACAAAAATTAGGTAGGTGTGGTGGCACGCACATGTAGTCCCAGACACTTGGGAGGCTGAGGTAGGAGAATCGCTTGAACCCTGGAGGTAGATGTTGCAGTGAGCCAAGATCACGCCACTGTACTCCAGCCTGGTGACAGAGCGAGACTCCATCTCTCTCTCAAAAAAAAAAAAAAAAAAAAAATCCTGACATTCAATAGTAAAGAAAACAAAACATACTGACGTGTTTGAATATGTTTCTAACAGAGCATCTTAGTAGCCACAGGTTTTTAGTTAAGGTCTCTTTATCAGATTTCACAGGATGGAAGGTGCTGTTGGATGGTATACTATTTCTAAAATGGTTGACTTAAAAACATTATTACTTCAATTCAGTCATGAAAACTGGCTTGTCAAATTTCTACCTTCTTCAGATCTCCCAGGGATAACTAAGTTATCCTTGGGTGACAGAATTAGAGTATTTACAAGGGGACCTCAAGCAGTTAAAATGAAGGAATGAGAAAAAGGAGATAAAAGTTTTTTAAAAAATGGAGTATAAATTCCTGTACTTGATTTAAAAAAAAAACTTCTAGTAGTGCAGATTTGGGGAGATCTGACCCAAAAGAGCTTCAAATGAATCAGATTTAAGAAATCCAACACAAAGACTTGTCCTGTTTAACATTTTTATCCCTTTCAACTTCTGTCTCTCTGAGAGTCTATGAATCATTTTGTCATTAAATGCCACGTCTGGAGAGAGGCAGTGGAGAGCAACAGCCCATGTGAAACTGCCCGCATTTAGAAAATTCTACTTTGGACAGAATCAGATTGGAACTGCTTGTTCATGAGTTTACACTAACAGTGGATTAAGTTCATCCCAATTCCTGACATAGTATTTTCATGATCAGAAATTTGAAGTATATTTCCTTCTAAATATTTTTGTTCAGATCTCTGATTTCAAAATTTTGATATCTGCACAATATATTGGAAAAATTTGATATTGGCACAGTATATTGGAATATGTCACATACTGATACAGAATGTAGGCCATTAAAGACATCTTCAGCCTACAGCTTCAGACAAAACAGATCTACTGTTTAAATATTTCTCTCTCTCTCTCTAAATGTGCACAGATGACTAAAAGGGTGAGAAGATATTTAGAGACAACAGAGAGTGCTATAAGGAAATATCTTTGTTTTGTACACAAGAACATAGTTTTGGAGTTGTACTAAATAATGCAATCAACACAGGCTGAGTACCATTCTAAATTTAAGTGTTTGAAACTTTTTTTTCATTTCTGATTTTGAGTTTTTATAGACATTTTGAGTTTTTATAGAATACTTTGTAATATACTTCAAGTGGCAGAAATATTACTCGTTACCATGTTATTAATACTAAAACCTAAGTCCCCAGAGGGACCCTCAGATTGGTGTGGTGGGATGAGGGGAAGGCTCTGCTCAACATATTATATGATGTATTATAAATTATGCATTTACATACATAATTTATGAATGAAAATTTATGTGTTAAAATGATGTATTTTTACGTATTTCCTCAGCATGTATTTTTATGTATTTCCTCAACATGGCATTTATGTGTTATTAGGATCCTAAGCTTGGACCCTGGATCTATCTTGGATGTCAGCTCCTATGTTTCTCTGAGGCTAGCAATTGTGCCATCTTTATTCTGGTGCTCTTCGGAGCCTCTATCAGGGAACCGTACCTTATCAGCACTATGTGAACATGTGTAAATTGATCAGTGTCAAAATATGAACAATTACAGTTTCTCCATATGAAATGCTTATAAACACAACACACACACGTTATTAATTTGTAAAACGTTAAATGTGTAAAACCAGCAAGAGCACACCATGTGCCACAGTTAAATATTAATGCAAGTTACGTAAGGTGTGGGTTTGGATTGATGGTTGAAGGGTATTTGGGGAAAAATAAGGAACATTAGAAAAATAGTCTTACCATACAGGTATTTTCCTTCATTAAAAGCAAATAAAAATGAGAAATTTTTTTTAATGTAATAACATCTGGTGAGAACAGACAGTAAAAGTTAGATAGCATTAGACTTGAAAAATTCATACCTGTTATTGTGAAGCCACCTAAAAAGGAAAAAAAAAAAAAAAAAAAAACAACAACAAATGTTATAATTTAACTTACATTCTGCATAACAAATACCAGTGACATCAGACTGCCTGACAACCCACCCAAGGTACTTGCCAAATTATATTTACAATTAAGAAGACTAGGAAAACATTCATGACTGAATCACTAATCATTCTTTTAAGATTATGAGATTTAATGCACAAATTTAATTCTTGTGCATACCTAAGAAATCATTGATTTTTTAAAAGGTTGTACTAAATTAAAAATGCAATACAAACTATTTGACCTTGACAAAGTGAGGTCAATGGCCCTAAACAACAATCTTGTTAGCAAGTCAAGAGAAGTAAAAGTCACAGAGCTACTATATCACCTGGCGGAAATGGAAAATAATCTAGAAAAATGGAAAGGAAGTGCAAGAAATGAAATGCTTACCAAGCTCATTCAATAACAGGGCTGTGAAGGAAATAGACAAAGACAAACACAGAATAAGAGACCAGATGAATAATGAAAGTAAGAGGAATATCAGCAGAAAGAAATCCAGGCAGATCTGATTACAGTGGTAGGGAGCCACTGCTAAAAATGGGTATACCCCAAAGAAATATAGTGTTGGGAATATTTCTGAATAAACAATCCCAACTGAAATTTCTGAAAATGTGTGTGATTGAATACACATGTATATATATGTGTGTATGTGTGTGTATATATATATATTTCACTTTATATATAATTTCTTTACATTTCATAAGACATTTCTAGTATATATGTTTATACCTAGAATATAAATCTAGTTTACCAAATACAGTAGAAACATTCTATGAAATTCATTCTTAACTTGATATGAGTGAGGCTTCCTCATTAAATATTGCCTGGGATTTGGTCAATCCAACGTATGGAAGCCTTAAATCATCCAGGATCTCGGGTATCACAACTTTTATTCAGTAAGTATAGGTGGAACATCCTGGGAAATTCCATTTTAGGTTCCCTGCCTGGAAGGGTAGTTTAGCCCAAGGTAAAGCACTATCTTGGGATGCTCTATTTGGATGATACTTTGTCCACCAAGAATTGCTTATGTATTAAAATCCTAAAAGCTTAATGGTCCCAGGAATTAACACCTATGTGTGTCCTTATCTGTGACTTCTGTAAATTATTAGATAACCAGAATCCTTCTAGTGGGCATATAATCCCAGGAAACTGACAGGGCATTGGGTGGGGGGGAGGGGGATATATAATTTGTCTTTCAGGTTACGTGCTTTAAACCCAGAATGTACTGTAGCACTTTATTTTAGTAAAAGCAATCTTGCTAAATATATCAAATTATTTCCTGAGTTGAACATGGGAATGTTACAATTACTTTTTTGGGCCCAGTTTTCTCTCTAATGATAGTGGCATTAGAGGATATTTTCTAAAAAAAGTCACTTATTTATAGTGACAATCCACTTGGAGGGTGTGAAACTGGATAGTGCTACTAAGGAATTTTAATTTGCTGTTACATGAGGGCATATTTTACTAAAATGGCAATTGAAAGAGCAGAATCCAATGATGCTCCTCCTTGCGATAAAGTTCTTTGGTGGAATACATTAGAAGAAAGTTGTTTTCTCCTGTATGTTAAGGAGGCATTTTGGATCCCATCTTTGTAAGAAATCAGCACAATTTTCTGGTCTCTTTTTCTTCCATCTACCATCTATGGAGCAGATTAAATAGGCTGCATTAAAACGGGTCTTGAGTGCTCCTTTTCCCATCACTCCAAAGACTCCTGTCGCCATCTTGAACTTGATTAACACAGAAACATACGTGTTTTTTCCCCACCAATGGACTCTGAGGCCACGAATGTGGGATACATTTTCCTATATGTCTACATAGCAATTAGTCCTATATATTTTATTTTTCCCTCTACATGTAAAAGCATATATTTCTTACAAAGTGGCCCATCTCGTCGTATCATACTGTCCTCACCAATTGTTTGTATGCAATTAATAAGAGCTATTAATATGTGGTCTGTTCATTTTACACAAGTAAATCACCAGAATTCCTTTAAAAATGGCCACTATTAGAGGATAATTTTACGAAGCCCTATTAACAATTGAGAATAAGAAATCCTCTGTAAAACTGATACAAGATTGCTGTCTTTCCTATGAAATATAGGCCATATGTTAACAATGAGTAAAATCTAGTTATAAACGACACTTTTTTTTTCTATTATATATGTTAATAATTTATTCTATAAGTATCAAGAGATTTTGGAGCATAAGGCTAGAGGCTAGGTAGGCCTTCAGCAAGGATTAAATTCTTACTGAAGGGCCTTATTCTTCTGATCAAAGAAAATTGATATGACTGTGGTTTCATAGATATGGTGCCTTTTAAATGTCGTATTTGATGATACAAAAATATGCTAAAATGAGCACTAGAATATTGAAAACACTACTCTTTAAGGATCTTTGTTCTTATTATTTTTAAACTGTGTTCTCTAAAGAAGCCTGATGATTGAATTCTGAAGTTTCCTGTTAGTTGCCATTCGGGTCATCTACTAATACTAATAAGTATTAAGTAGTTTCTTTTTTCCAGCTTTATTGAGGTATGATTAACAAGGTATTAAGCAGTCTTTATCACTAAAATTTTAGGGGAGATTTAATAATTGGAGTGACATTTTAGAATAAACCGTGAGTAGTGAAAAACTAAACACATTCTTTTATATAATCATTTCTGAATTACAGAAATCCCTTTCAGTGTTATTAAATCTGGTTACAATCAAGGTTAGTTGGCATTTCCTGAAGAGAGTGGGCGTTGCCTGTTGCACTTGTGAATTAGGGAAGGGAAATGAAACTGCTAAAGCTTCAAAGGCAATGAAGTATAGTACTTGGAAGCCGAGGAAGAGGAGAGAGTTAAGTGTGAGAGTAGGGAGACACGGAGAGAGAAGAGTACAATTTCTCGCTGGTATGTCTTTGTTTACTCTCACACCTTTCATTCCTCTTCTTATCCATTTTGGTTCCTCAAGCACAAGGGAGAAACTGCACTCTTTCTCATATTCCTCACGGTCAAATATTCTAATGGTAATGATCTTCCTGTGGGAACACAAGACAAAGGCAAAACAAATGGTTGGAGTCACACGCTCATGCTCTTGGTGTCCACCAAGCTGAATGTTACTGTGATGTTATGGAGGGAGAACTGGCAGCACATGGGCCTCCTGAAGTATGTAACAGGGCATCTTGGGTACTCTTGGCTGGCCCCCATTAAGTTTTCTTTGCTAATTTATCACTTTCATGAATTATTCCTGCTTCAGTTAGTAGTCAGTAGGTACCCCAAAATAGGAAGATAAATCAGAACGTTACCTTCCTTTTGGCATTGCATGGCATCTGCAGCCACTTTCCCAGAAATGGACACTTGATTGACTGCCCTGAAAATTAATCTCTCAGACGTTAATGTGCAGCACAACCAATGCTGGCTGATGTAGCTACAGGCCCGCCCACTGTGGCTCAGCATGAGATCTGTGCCCTGTTACATAGGTGGAGGGATGTGTGCATTGTAAGTCATGTTCTGAAGAGTGTAGGCATCCAGGGGTGGCACAGGCCAGCAGAAGCTGTTGGGCTCAGCCCTGGAGCAGCTCCCCCACCTTTCTTCTCACTCATCTCCACCAGGCGGGGCTCTCCAATCTCAAGGAAGAAGGTCTTGTTTTTCTCATATTCCTCATCATCAATTACCTTGACTGATATTGTTTTGCTGAAACAGAGAATAGAAATTGACGAACAAGGGGAAGAGGAAAGAAAAGAGAAGGAACATAGAAAAGAGGGAAGCAAGGTTAACCAGTTGCACTTTCAGACAAACAGTAATCGAGAAACTTCTGTACTGTGAGTTTTTTCTTCAAGAATGGATATCAGATAGGTATGAAAGGTCAGAGATTTCACCCAATGCATAGCTCCCCTGCCCAGGGCCACAGAATTATTTTAGGCAAAATAGAGCATTCAGTACTAATAGGTTTGTCATCATCATAAGGAGGAAAAGCAGAAAAACACAGATCACAATAAAAAAAAAAAGAAGAACACATTAATTTAGTAAATACCTTAACCAGTGGATTGTCTAAGCTGTGCCTTGGAACTTGCTCCTTTAGAACAAGTCAAAAAATCTCATCAAGATATTAATAGAGTTATCTCTGGGCAATAGGCTTATAGGTCATTTTTTTTCCTTCGTTGTGCTTTATTATAGTTCCAAATATAATATTTTTATCATAAATTGTTAATAAATGAATAAAAATATCACAAAGAAAATACAGTCAAATTATCTCACCCCACCCAATGTCTTAGAATCAAACTCTTATTCAGGTTAGTCAGATTCTCCAGCTAGACCACAGCAGGAAGACAAACATGTTTTGTTTGTCTTTCTAAAGATGGAAGCTGTGGCCTCACAACAGCTGTTTTGAAAGTGGGGTGGCAGCAGGTGGGTGTCATGATTTGTAGTTATTTTCATTCTTCCAAAGTTGAGTTTTAACTTTCTATGAAACATGCCATTTACACTACTTTCAAACGTCACCAATACACCAAGGTGTTTTGATGAGAATTCTTCCTGTAATCCAGCCTTTAACAGTTCTTGCCTTATGGTCCTATGGCTATGAGTGACTGACAAGCAGGGAGGACAAATGCAAATATGCAAATCTCAGGTTTCCATAAGCATTCTTGATTACTCTGAAAATAAACCAACCTAAAGTTACCTTTTAATTAATAAGGGCTTAAACACTTCATATACTACAACTTATTAGAAACCTTTTAAACACTGATTTGTCTTGAAAAAATGTTTCCAATAACATTGGCCAAGAACAATTCTGATCAACGTTTTTGGAACAATGAGTGTTTGTAGACACAGAATTTTAACAGCATGGTCATTAAGTTTTTTTTAGGTCTTCTGGAAGGAAATTGGTTTATAATCTTGTTTTTATTTATCCAAGTCATTAAGTTTTCATTCGATCTATGCCTACTAAAGATTATCAGTCTTCTTTCCTAGTTACTTTTAATTCTCTGAATTTCCCAGTCCCTAATGCCAAATGCTTAAGTCTTACTTTTTGGCTTAGCATTGTAGACCTGAGACCAGATTATTGGTTCTGGTACCCTGAAACCCAATAATGTACTCTCTGTTCCTCAGCTAGAGAACACCCTTGAATGATACTCACATTCCAACGTCTCACTCCTAAAAAGCTGCAGCTCATGAAACTCCTTTCCTTTCTCATATCTGTCCTCAAATACTGACACTAGATGAACAGCTATAAGTAGGTAAAGCCACAATCATTTTTTAAAGAGTGGTTAGATATTTACAAAACTACCAACAGTATGATAATGTCCAGTTACATGTATACTGTAAACAGCTCTTTCCTAACTTTTAGAATTATTTTTTAAAATCACCTATTTAGTATAAAAAAATTAGCCCACTGTGACTAAACTAGAATATTTAATTTTTCCCTAAAATCCAAAAACTATAAAATATTAGAGAAGGCACAGGAGGATGGATGTAAGGAATGATGATTATTTGATCATTAGAACTGAATTTGATGTTGCAAAATAGATCAAATTTACCCCACACAAAACTGCCATATGTCTATCCTCTTTGTCAACAAAACGTATGCATTTTGGGTATTCATTTCCATCTCGCAGTCTTGCAATCTTAAACTTTAGTTGTACATTTCTACAAAAACAGCATGGTAAGAGCAAAGGTAGGAAGGTGTTGATGGACAATAAAAGGGCCATGCTACTGTTCTCTGGACTTGATGGCCCAACATCCATTATCAAGATGCTTCATTGTAGGGTACATCAAACTGAAATCCCTCATTGTGAGAGTCATGTTGCAATATTCTTGTTAGCATTACTTAAAAACATCTGATGTTACATTTCTCCGTCTTGTATTTGCAACCCACCCTGCATCTCATCACATATTTAATTGGATTACAGAAATAAAGCACAGTGGGGATGGTAGAAGTAGCCTTGCTAATAAGGTGAACGTTTGTGTAGAAAAGGTACCTGTTTCATGTTCACAAATCAACTTATTCACAAATAAATCAAACAACATATTATTGCTAATCCTTGGTGAATATCATAAATATTTAAATCCTCTAATGGCTTTCTTTTCTTTCCTTTCTTTCTTTCTATTTTTGAGATGGAGTCTTGCTTTTGTTCCCCTGGCTGGAGTGCAATGGTGTGATCTCGGCTTATTGCAATCTCCGCCTCCCAGGTTCAAGTGATTCCCCTGCCTCAGCCTCCTGAGTAGCTGGGATTACAGATGCCCACCACCATGCCCAGCTAATTTTTGTATTTTTAGTAGAGGCAGGGTTTCACTATGTTGGCCAGGCTGGTCTGGAACTCCTGACCTCAGGCGATCCACCCGCCTCGGCCTCCCAAAGTGCTGGGATTACAGGGGTGAGCCACCACACCCGGTCTATTTTCTATATTCTGAGTAGCTGATAAATGGGGGAAATACAGTTATATAGCTCCACACAATTTGTCTGCATATAAAATAAGCATTTATGATTTATCACTAGCATATCCCTATTCATAGGATCACAATTCTTAGAAAATTTTGAAGTACTTGATAACTATGACACTGAAAAAATCAAGGATGAAGAAAAAGAAAAAAGTACTTTTGCAGGTGCCTGGCAAATACATCTAAAATAGATGGAATTTGCATAATGGCATATCATTTCAAAATCATTAGTAATAGAATCAATAATGCTTCTGACAGGAAGAGCCACTAAATTATATATTGATTTCACTCCTCTTGCACAGTGAAGCTATTAATAGGGAACTTGATTATTAAAGGACATTTCAGTGGCTCTAAAGTGGCAGGATGAAGTCAGTCCTTATGAATTAGCCCTTTAAATCAACAGAGGCAAAAATCAGAAGGCACTGGTAATGTTCACCTTTTGCTTCAGAACAGAACAATTTCTCCCCTTAGCAAATGTAGTAGAGGTGAAATAAACCAATATAATTTTTAAAGGAACACATCCTTGGGATGTCTCCTTCTCACTTTCCAGAGCCTAATGCATGAAAGATATTGCCACCACTTCTTCCTTCACAGGGGATAGTATGTGAGATGGGGTTGGTTTGGTGAAGATGTCAGTTATTCTGGCTTGATAATCAGCAGAAGCATGTTCCTCACAGTTCTGCAGTAGAAAGAATCTCAAGGACTGACAGAACCTTGAATGTCCTCCAGTTGGCCCCATTGCCACACCAATACCATGTCCACAGGACTTTTGCATTGTCACAAGGACTCCAGCTCCCTGAAAACACACATCCATTTTGGCTGTTCTGTTCTGTTTACCAACAGGGAACATAGTTGTTGCTACTTCTTTTCTTTAAATTGACAGGTTAACAAAAACAAGACTGGAACTGTTGGGTAGACACAGCCCTTCATCCAAATATAATTCTTGCATTTTTACTGCACTGATAAAGAACAAATAGAAAAACTGGTATCACACAACTTCCAACTATTATAATTATTATAAAGACAGGAAAACTCACTTCTTTTTTACAACTTTTCAAATTTGAGCAGTATACTATAAAAACTGTGGTTTCTGGAAACTAGCAAAGCAGTTACAAATCTTACGATAGCATTAAAATATTTCTTAATATTGCCAAAATTTTTATGGAAGTACATTTTGGTTCTATTTCTAAAAAAAAGAAGAAAGATCAATTTATTTAGTGGAAAAATACTGATTATTCCTTTTGAAGTTTGCAGTGCCTTTTATTTGATGATACCAAACCAACATCTATACTTTACTTCCCAGTCTCTCTCTCTCTCTTATCTTATGTGTCTCAAAGGACCCGAACACCTTCAAACAGACTACCAAGGAGTTCTTATATCTGGTTTTGACTCAGGCAGGCAGACAGAAAAGAAAGACGTGGCTTTACTAATGAGAGTTGAAGAAGAAAGTCTCTTCGAAATATATTTTAGTTTCTCATTGTTAACCCAAAGTGGTACCACAGTCTCTTTTTCAACTTAAGCCTCAATTTGTCCTTCTGTGGTTTCTTTTCTTTAAGACTGCCCTTGATGTTGGGAGAAGATGAGGAAAGGATGAACTGGAGGATTAAAGAGAAGAGACTCCTCCATTTTAGATCCTTAAACAAAAGATTTTAGTGAGGATTTCACATATTTAGATGCTTATGGTTGCTTTTTGTCTTTTAAGATTTACCCTCTCCTTAGACATACTCAGAGGCCAGTGGAATGATAGGCTCTTTGCATTTCTTAATTCACAGATCTTCATAACAGCCCAAGAAGTAATTCTTACTACCTGAGATTGACAGGGAAAACGACGACTCTCAGAGACCTTGGTAATATCCAAGGTCGCAAAGTGAGTCTCCTGTGACTGGCTTCAGGAACTGAAACCTTTAAATTATATGACTCAAAATCAACCAGTAGGTCCCTTATTCATTCAACTGTGCAGTATTTTTATGGCCACTTTAAAGGATCTAGATCATTACTTTAATATCAAGTTTTTTTGTTTCATCTTTAACAAAGAATGACTGTATGAAAATGATAGAATCTCAATTTTGTTTTTAAAAGGACTGCAGCACATGTTATATTCCATGATGGCTGCTTTAAAAAGTTAAATCATTGAGGAGATAAAGGTTTAATTAAAAAGAGCCGTGAGCATGCAATGGTTCACCAACTCTGAGAACTCTGAATAGTCAACCAGCAGTTTCAGTGTCAGCTTCACCTAAAGTGTGGGACTTGTTAGAATT